GTTCCTCCTTCCCTCCCCAGAGACTTCATCGAGCAGCACTATGTGACCCTGAAGAAGGCAAATCCCGACTTCCCCATCCTGATCCGCGAGTGCTCCGGTGTCCAGCCCAAGCTCTGGGCCCGGTTCGGTAAGTGGGGGGTGCCCGCCGGGAAGCACCAGCTGAGGACAGCTAGAAGCGAGCGCCAGAGCCCTGCGGTCTGCAGCAAATGGGGGGTTCAGCGATTACAGTAAGGGGCATTGACGGAGAGGGAGCAGCTGTCCCTGAGGCAAGGTGGGGATCGACTTCAGAGAAGCGTGTAACTGCTGCATGACCTGGTGGGAGGCAAAAAAGGTGGTTTGCCAGCTTGTGGCCGTGATCTCCCACCCCCGTAGTGTTCCTGTACAGAAAAACGTTTCTGTTTTTCCTTTGTTTTCACTGCATTCTCAGCGAAACACCAAGGAGGGAGCAGAAAAGCTCCTCTGTAAAGGCTCTGTTTTCTTCCTGAAGTCATCTGGGCTGGAGAAAAATAATTTAGAAACTTTTTTTCAAAGAGGTGCAGTGACTCTTTAAGCACGAGTTTCCCAGTGCGAGCACATGGGCCAGTAGCACCTGCTGGTATAGTGCCTGTCTCTTGTCTGTATGTGACCTGCAGGGAAATACACCCCCGGGTAGGGGCTGCTGTAGTAACAGCAAGTTTTTCAGCACTGTTTTACTGAAGTGTTGGTGAGCATCTTGATGTGAGCTGGCCGAAAGCCACCAGGTTGCTTTGGGATGTGGTGGGGGCTTCTGCTCAGCTGCTACACAGCAAAAGTTAACAAGAAGAGGCAAGGAAATGTGTTCGGCTGCATTGGCTTCTCTGAGGGAAAGGCTGAGAATAAAGAGAAGGTGGAAACGATGACTTGGGCACAGGGAGGCACGCTGGGGAGTGGTGGGTGCGAAAGGGTGGTGACAGGAGCCTGGGCTGCGATGCCAGTGGCGCTTGGGAAACCTAAAGCAGGGCTTTGGGTTGCCCTCGCACCAGAAAAGGACCAAGGCACCTGCTCCCTCTCTTACCCTCTGTCTTTCCTGCAGAGTTTGGCAAGGAGAAAAGCGTGCCGCTGAACAACCTTACTGTGGATGAAGTGGCCAAGGCCTTGGAGAACATTGTGAAAAGCAAGGTGTGAAGACACAGTAAATATGCACGTGCTGAAGACTTGACTGATGATCTTTAATGTAAAATGTGTATCTTTAACTTATCAATCGCATAAATGCAACGTGCTTACCCTGAGCTTCACATGTTGGGTTTAAAGCCAAAAGGAGATGCTGGAGGGAACGGCCGATCATCAGGGTTTATACACCACCTCCCCGGCATCAAGAGCCCGCCTGCCCGGGTTGCAGCTCAGCTCTGCTCCTGCACCAAGCTCTGGGGAGGCACAGGGCAGCCTGCTGGTAGCTACGAGGTGGCGACAAGGACGGAAACAGCCGTATCGTGCCAAGGACCAGCGTCGCTGTGCAGCCAGCACTGGTGCTTACAGCTGGGCGGTTAGACCCCTAACCAGGGCACAGGGTTTACTCCTCCTTGGAGCATGGGGAAGGGAGGTGGCGTGGCTTAGGAGAAGGCAGACAACGTGGCGTGGCAGGGACTGAAGGCGGAGGCTCCCAGGGGCTGCCCGACCATGTCGAGCAGCGCTCGTGCCCGCTCCTGGAGTTCTGGGGTGTTCTGGTGCTGCTCAAGGGCCCGGTGCCCGCCTTGCGTGACGAAGTCAGCAGCAGCCTGTGTGAGAGGAGAGGGGCGAGAGCTGGCTGGCTGCCACCTAAGTATCTGCTACAGCTGATCCTGTCTGCCCAGAGTCACCACTGTACAGCCCAGGGAACGGGGCTGAAGGAATTCCCCAGAGCCCTACCAGATACTAAAGTCCCAAGCCAGGTAAATCCAGCCATGCTGATCGCTGGCCAGGAATGCACAGAGCTTGGAAGTAAACACAACCGAATCAAAAGAATCCCCCCCATAATAACCTCAAAGGGTACAAACAACCCGCCCAAAAAGCAGTCATTGTCAATGAAAAGGAACTCCCCAGACACACAAGAAGGGCTTACGCCCTCTGCATCACACGAGTGCCCTGCTTCAGGCACGTGGCTGGGTGCTGAGGAGTGGGGACTAGCATGGCAATAACTGAAGGCAGTATTATTTAAATAATAATCCCCATCCCCAGCTTTATGATCTTGTGCTTGATTCTGGGACAGGCACCCCCCGCTCTTACCTCCGGCCAGTGCAGGAAGAGGAGGTGCAGCAGCTCGAGGCACTGCCCCACCACTTCGGGGGGGTGGGCAGCGGGGGGGGCAGGCCAGGCTGCCGGTGCAGCTGCTGGCAGTAGGCTGGCCCCTTCTCTGCTATATTGCACAGAACTGTCAGGACCTGGACGGAGGAGCCATGAGAGGGAGCGAGCAACGAATGCTTCATTAGTGGGCAGATTCCCGACAGGCTCCAAAGAACTCCCCATGTCCTCCCTGGAGGTCCTGCCAGGTGCTTCCCCAAAGCCACGTGCCCACCAACCAGCTGGATTTTGAGTGCTCTTTAAAAGCCTTTTCCATCCCCACCTCAAGGCGCTGTTCATCCCCGTGCCAGACAGACGCAGCGGTACCACCCACCCCTTGGCAAAGCATCCCCCCAGGACCCCCTAAAGCTTTAGGGTCTTCCAAAAGAAGGTAGCAGCAGCCTCCCTGGGCCCACTCCGGGTGCTGGCAGGCCTGACCCCAAGCTAACATCTGCCTTGGGACCCCTATTCTGCTGGGACAAGACTCTGTCAAGGGTAAATACAGACGCAGTGACTTCAGGGGAGGCGGATGGTGACTACCACATAACAAGACCTTCCGCCAAGCTGTTGCTACTGCCCCAAGCCAACCTCCAACTTGAGCACTGTGTGTGCGGGATTCATGTTCCTGAAAGCCCAGCGCTCCCCCCACCCCAGACCTGGGGCACGAGGCGAGGCCTTACCAACACACTGGCCATCTGAGAACACGGCAGGAGCTGCAGCAGGGCCGGGAGCAAGTCCAGGGAGAGCAGAGCGGAGCAGAAGAAGGGCTCGTCTGCTAGGGTGGGCAGAGAGGGAACGTGTCAATAAAACCGAGGTTTCTGAGGGAGGTCTGCAGACAAGACGCCACGAGTCTGCCAGCAGGTCCCGGCAGCAGCTCTGGCTCTGCTGACAGCCCCCGCGGGACGCTGACCCGTGAGGTTGTTCAGCAGCCAGAGGCACTCCTGTACGATGAACGGGTGCTGCTGGAGGAAGCACTGCAGGATGAGGAAGAGGGCGATGAGCAGGCGCTCGTCCTCGATCTGGACTTCGCAACCCGTCTCCTCCGCGAGCAGGTTGCTGAGACACCGCAGCACTGGGCAGACGAGCTGTGACGGTGGGAAACACAAAGCCCTTTAGCCGGACCGCATCCCCACAGCAACGCCGAGAGCAGCCAGCACCCTGCCCGCGTCTTACCAGCTCCAGGCCCTCAGGAGCATCTTGGGGGATTTCAGAAGCCAGGTCGAGCAAGAGCGAGGTGAGGGCAGGCAAGGCCCCCAGCGACAGCAATGCTGCGTTGGCTGTATGGCTGCAAAGGGAAGGGACAGCAGGGTTGCTTTTGGTGCTCAGAGAGGAAAAACTGCTTGCAGCCTTTGCCAAACAACGGGGCCTGGAAATTCGGAGCGTTCTCCTCAACTGCCACAGGGCTTGTTTCATAGCAGCTTGTTTCTGAGCTTATGAGAAAGTTTAAAAGCCCATGGAAAACAGGTCCACGGGAATTATCTGTGCAGGTCTGGAAACAACAGCCCCGGTCCTTCTTTGAGTACCCACACATTTCTTTCTGTTGGGGCTGCTGAAAGAAATGGCACCGGAGCAGCCACGCCAAGGCAGGCAGAGATTGTTGGCAGCAGCCAGCCCGGCCGGGTGACACCGGGCCAACCCCAGAAGCGCGAGGATTCAGGGAGCTTGCCTTGGGGAGTGTGGGGGACAATTCCAGACGTGGGGAGGTGACTGGGGGGAGTTCAGAGGACTAGGAACAGCCTCCTCAGGGTTATCACCTGTTATCACCCTGTAAAGGAACTCAGTGATCCTGCAAACAGCATGCGTGTGCTCAGATACGAGAGCGGGAATGCCCGGGATGGCAGGGAAATTGCTTTCCCAAGGGAAGGGGGTAAGGGGAGGCAATCCAGGTCCCCTTGCAGGACCCCGAGCCTTCGTGCCTCTCTGGCTGCCCCCAGGGAACTCAAAATGAGCAGAAAAGCGCATTTACCTACAAACGATGTAGTGGAGACACCATGCAAACTCCACGGCTGCTCCTATCCCAGCCTTGAGGCCGGAGCAAACCAGTCGAAGCATGTGCTGGGGGAGAACAGAGTCCAGAACCAAGCTGGGGTCAGAACAGCAGAGTTAATGGAGGCATAGGCCAGAGCACAAGCAGGACAGACAACTGACAGGGAGACAGCAGCCCTGGCCACTGAGCAGGGAGCCGCTCTCCCTCGTACTGGGGGCCACATGCTCCAAACGCACACCTGGAAGAGACTCCTACCTAAGGGTTGCAGCCCCAGGCACCACTAAGGCCCAGCACAAGCTCTCCCTGTCCGTGGCAGGGCCTGGGGGCACTCAGTACACCTTGGCTGGGGTCACATTTTTGGCACCGGGGGCTGTCAAGCTGATCTTTTCCTTCGCAGGAGGAATACAGCCAGAATTTCCCTGCGAGCCTACCCTGCTCAACACTGTCCCTTACCGAAATACCAGAGCTGTCTGCTCAGATGAGGCTGAGGGAAAAGAGTCAAGCCCCGCACCCTGAACTGCAACAAAACCTCCATAGTTCTGGTAGGATTCTGCTCTGAACTATTAATATCACTGGGATGGGAAAGGCGGCGGCGGCGGCCCTGGCATGCAAATACCACGCTGGGCCCCAGGGCCCATCCTGATGCGGGGTTAAGAGGCTCGGACTCACGGTATGATCTCTGTGGGGGCTTCCTTGGCTTGGAGGAGCTGCGAGAGGACGTAGCCCAGACCTTCCAGCACAGCCTCGTGCGGGGACTGCAATCAAACAGAAAAAAGCTAATCCCGCATGACAGAGCCGGGGGATCCCAGGGTGCCAGCTGTCGTGCTGGTGAGAGGGCGATACCTCTTTGCAACACCAAACCAAGCAGCCGAGCGGCGCAGTCTCTCCATGCCTGGAGAAGAGGGGGCACAGCAGGGGACCGGGAGTGACAGAGCAACCTGTGGCCACACCAAAGCTGAGCTTTCCCCCCCTCCCCGCACTCACATGGGCTGCAGCTGTAGGGACCCAGGAGCCCAAACACAGCAGCAGTGCTGCTTTGAGCATTCAGATCTGCAAACGACAGCCCCGCTGACTGCGTTGGCCTCGTATGCCTGCTGGACCCCAGGCGTGAAGAGGGGAGAAGCCTGCAGCTCAGCTTGTGTATTGGCAAGCCACAGTTACGGATGTGAGAGATTCAGCTGGAGAAGAGCACACGGTGGTGACCTGAGCCCCGAAAATGGGAGTGCAGGAGAGCCCGTGAGAGACCCTCACCCGCAAGGGAACAGCCCTCTGCAGAGGGATCTCTGCCCGTGGCCACAGCTAGAAGGAGAGCTGATAACTCAGTACTGTCAGCCAGCGTCTAAAGGGCATAAGAAAAGGCATTTTTCTGGGGCAGGGCAGGGGAAGAGTGTGGCTGAGCTATTTCACCCACCTGGATGCAGGATGCCAGCACTGGAATGATGCCCTGAGGCAGAAGCTGCTTCCTCACAGCTTCGCTTTCTACTACCAGGTTCCCCAGCGTGTACAAACACAGCTCCTGAAACACGCCCGAGAGAGCAGGTCACCTCCTCCGCACTCCCCAGCGGGACCCTGGCCAGCCTGGGCAGCCAGCAGGGCCTCTAGGTCCCTGCACCCCAGGACTAGGGCACACACTCCCCCTGCGCGGGGCAGAAGCTGTCTTCAGAGGGGTAAACATAGGTGGATACTGCTGGACTCTCCTGCTACCCCGTTCCCAGCTGCATCGGCTTCAATTTATCATTTTTCTATCTGGCTCAGGTTGGGATCTGATCACTTCCACTTTGGAGGTTTTTCAGGCTTCTAATTATTGCTATGACATTTCCCTGAGACCCCCCTAATTCCGCAGTATTCTCCTGGAGACTGCCCGTGTGCTGCATTAAAATGTGATCATCACCTTGGTGTTGCTCCCCATCTTGTTCCTTAGCTCTGATCCCGTCTGCTTCTCAAAGGAGCACAGCACGCTGCGCAAGGCGCACTGCTCGGCAGC